AAATGTATGCAATGTGTAGAAATTAAACACATTGCTCTGGTAGCTTTTTGTGTCAATACACATGATCACAATTCGTTTCAAGAAATTCCGTCACTGCTTTGTATACCAATCACTCACAGCACTGATCGCCTCCAGTCTCTCGAGCAGACTCACAGCACTGATCGCCTCCAGTCTCTCGAGCAGGTGTTCGTTCATCTGATCGAACACATCCAGCGTTGACAATTTCAATACCCACTTCATTTTGCAAAAGATTTAAAATTTTGTTGTCTATGTTTGGTTTCCGAGTTCTCTTAGCATTGATTTCACGGATCGATTGTTTAAGCTTTCTTATTATTTTCGGTTAGTACTCGAAACCTTTTTCAATGTGTGAGTTATAAAGCATGATGAAGCTTAAATTAACCATTACTAAATCAAACCAGCCTTACAGGTATAAGAAAGGCAATATTAAGACCATGGCTATACTACTGCAATAATGGTAAAAGTTGTTCTTGACGAATGTTCTTGGATTTGTAGCAATTCAGTTGAACCTTCGTCAGTAACGCGGTGTCTAGTCCCACCTATGTAAGTAGTGATCATCAGTTGGACCATGTAACGCGGTGTCTAGTCCCATCTATGTAAGTGATCATCAGTCGGACCATGTAACGCGGTGTCTAGTCCCACCTATGTAAGAGATCATCAGTCGGACCATGTAACGGGGTATCTAGTCCCACCTATGTAAGTGATCATCAGTCGGACCATGTAACGCGGTGTCTAGTCCCACCTATGTAAGTGATCATCAGTCGGACCATGTAACGCGGTGTCTAGTCCCACCTATGTAAGTGATCATCAGTCGGACCATGTAACGCGGTGTCTAGTCCCACCTATGTAAGTGATCATCAGTCGGACCATGTAACGCGGTGTCTAGTCCCACCTATGTAAGTGATCATCAGTCGGACCATGTAACGCGGTGTCTAGTCCCACCTATGTAAGTGATCATCAGTCGGACCATGTAACGCGGTGTCTAGTCCCACCTATGTAAGTGATCATCAGTCGGACCATGTAACGCGGTGTCTAGTCCCACCTATGTAAGTGATCATCAGTCGGACCATGTAACGCGGTGTCTAGTCCCACCTATGTAAGTGATCATCAGTCGGACCATGTAACGCGGTGTCTAGTCCCACCTATGTAAGTGATCATCAGTCGGACCATGTAACGCGGTGTCTAGTCCCACCTATGTAAGTGATCATCAGTCGGACCATGTAACGCGGTGTCTAGTCCCACCTATGTAAGTGATCATCAGTCGGACCATGTAACGCGGTGTCTAGTCCCACCTATGTAAGTGATCATCAGTCGGACCATGTAACGCGGTGTCTAGTCCCACCTATGTAAGTGATCATCAGTCGGACCATGTAACGCGGTGTCTAGTCCCACCTATGTAAGTGATCATCAGTCGGACCATGTAACGCGGTGTCTAGTCCCACCTATGTAAGTGATCATCAGTCGGACCATGTAACGCGGTGTCTAGTCCCACCTATGTAAGTGATCATCAGTCGGACCATGTAACGCGGTGTCTAGTCCCACCTATGTAAGTGATCATCAGTCGGACCATGTAACGCGGTGTCTAGTCCCACCTATGTAAGTGATCATCAGTCGGACCATGTAACGCGGTGTCTAGTCCCACCTATGTAAGTGATCATCAGTCGGACCATGTAACGCGGTGTCTAGTCCCACCTATGTAAGTGATCATCAGTCGGACCATGTAACGCGGTGTCTAGTCCCACCTATGTAAGTGATCATCAGTCGGACCATGTAACGCGGTGTCTAGTCCCACCTATGTAAGTGATCATCAGTCGGACCATGTAACGCGGTGTCTAGTCCCACCTATGTAAGTGATCATCAGTCGGACCATGTAACGCGGTGTCTAGTCCCACCTATGTAAGTGATCATCAGTCGGACCATGTAACGCGGTGTCTAGTCCCACCTATGTAAGTGATCATCAGTCGGACCATGTAACGCGGTGTCTAGTCCCACCTATGTAAGTGATCATCAGTCGGACCATGTAACGCGGTGTCTAGTCCCACCTATGTAAGTGATCATCAGTCGGACCATGTAACGCGGTGTCTAGTCCCACCTATGTAAGTGATCATCAGTCGGACCATGTAACGCGGTGTCTAGTCCCACCTATGTAAGTGATCATCAGTCGGACCATGTAACGCGGTGTCTAGTCCCACCTATGTAAGTGATCATCAGTCGGACCATGTAACGCGGTGTCTAGTCCCACCTATGTAAGTGATCATCAGTCGGACCATGTAACGCGGTGTCTAGTCCCACCTATGTAAGTGATCATCAGTCCGACCATGTAATGCGGTGTCTAGTCCCACCTATGTAAGTGATCATCAGTCGGACCATGTGACGCGGTGTCTAGTCCCATCTATGTTAGTGATCATCAGTCGGACCACGTAACGCGGTGTCTAGTCCCACCTATGTAAGTGATCATCAGTCGGACCATATAACGCGGTGTCTAGTCCCATCTATGTAAGAGATCATCAGTCGGACCATGTAACGCGGTGTCTAGGCCCACCTATCATGTAACGGGGTATCTAGTCCCACCTATGTAAGTGATCATCACTCGGACCATGTAACGCGGTGTCTAGTCACACCTATGTAAGTGATCATCAGTCGGACCTTGTAACGGGGTATCTAGTCCCACCTATGTAAGTGATCATCAGCCGCCCCATGTAACGCGGTGTCTAGTCCCACCTATGCAAGGGATCATCAGTCGGACCATGTAACGCGGGGGCTAGTCCCACCTATGTAAGTGATCATCACTCGGACCATGTAACGCGGTGTCTAGTCGCACCTATGTAAGTGATGATCAGTCGGACCATGTAACACGGTGTCTAGTCCCACCTATGTAAGTGATAATCAGTCGGACCATATAACGCGGTGTCTAGACCCATCTATGTAAGAGATCATCAGTCGGACCTTGTAACGCGGTGTCTAGTCCCACCTATATAAGTGATCATCAGTCGGACCATGTGACGCGGTGTCTAGTCCCACCTATGTAAGGGATCATCAGTCGGACCATGTAACGCGGTATCTAGTCCCACCTATGTAAGTGATCATAAGTCGGACCATGTAACGCGGTGTCTAGGCCCACCTATCATGTAACGGGGTATCTAGTCCCACCTATGTAAGTGATCATCAGGCGGACCATGTAACGCGGTGTCTAGTCCCCCCTATGTAAGTGATCATCAGTCGGACCTTGTAACGGGGTATCTAGTCCCACCTATGTAAGTGATCATAAGTCGGACCATGTAACGCGGTGTCTAGCCCCACCTATGTAAGTGATCATCAGTCGGACCATATAACGCGGTGTCTAGACCCATCTATGTAAGAGATCATCAGTCGGACCATGTGACGCGGTGTCTAGTCCCATCAATGTTAGTGATCATCAGTCGGACCACGTAACGCGGTGTCTAGTACAACCTATGTAAGTGATCATCAGTCGGACCTTGTAACGGGGTATCTAGTCCCACCTATGTAAGTGATCATAAGTCGGACCATGTAACGCGGTGTCTAGCCCCACCTATGTAAGTGATCATCAGTCGGTCCATGTAACGCGGTGTCTAGTCCCACCTATCATGTAACGGGGTATCTAGTCCCACCTATGTAAGTGATCATCACTCGGACCATGTAACGCGGTGTCTAGTCACACCTATGTAAGTGATCATCAGTCGGACTATGTAACGCGGTGTCTAGTCCCACCTAGGTGAGTGATCATCAGTCGGACCCTGTAACGCGGTGTCTAGTCCCACCTATATAAGTGATCATCAGTCGGACCATGTAAAGCGGTGTCTAGTCCCACCTATGTAAGTGACCATCAGTCGGACCATGTAACGCGGTGTATAGTCCCATCTATGTAAGTGATCATCAGTCCGACCATGTAACGCGGTGTATAGTCCCACCTATGTAAGTGATCATCACTCGGACCATGTAACGCGGTGTCTAGTCGCACCTATGTAAGTGATGATCAGTCGGACCATGTAACACGGTGTCTAGTCCCACCTATGTAAGTGATCATCAGTCGGACTATGTAACGCGGTGTCTAGTCCCACCTATTGTAACGCGGTGTCTAGTCCCACCTATCACGTAACGGGGTATCTAGTCCCACCTATGTAAGTGATCATCACTCGGACCATGTAACGCGGTGTCTAGTCTCACCTATGTAAGTGATCATCAGTCGGACCAGGTAACGCGGTGTCGAGTCCCACCTATGTAAGTGATCATCAGCCGCCCCATGTAACGCGGTGTCTAGTCCCACCTAAGTAAGAGATCATCAGTCGGACCATGTAACGGGGTGTCTAGTCCCGCCTATGTAAGTGATCATCAGTCGGACCAAGTAACGCGGTGTCTTGTCCCACCTATGTAAGTGATCATCAGTCGGACCATATGTTGAAACATTAAACATTCTTCTTAAAACTAGATATAGAATCTTATATATTATCATTTATACCATGTTCACACTGTATTATTAGGCTTATAATTGATAATTTATGTAATTTCTTCTCTTATAAATTGTTTTTGTTTAATTTTCCGTAATATTTACCTGTAACAATCACTAGGCGGACATACATAACAGTTGGCATGTTTCTGAAACCCATTTTTTTCAATTTTATGATCTTCGAAAAAATGCTTTAACTAAAACATGTTTACATGTTGATTTATTGGATGTGTTTTTTGTGTAAATAAGGTTATGGTATTTTATAGTAGTGTAAGTCAACACCATAATAGGGAAACTAAGCAATCGATATTTACATCAAACGGTATGTCAGGGAGAATATCAGTAGCACTTGATATCGACAATATATTTCTTTATAAGACTCCGTAACGTAAAAAATCACCAGTGCCTGCCTTCTAAACAGGTGTGCAAGTCCAAGTCCGTATGACAAATAAAACTAGTGTTAAATCAACAGGAAGATATTGACAAAAGGATAAAAGTATTGACAATAAACGTAATATTCACGACAACTAAAACCATTTTAGTGAAAATTGGAAACAGTTTTAGCTAAAAATCACATAGGAATACTTCTGTGTCGTAGCTAAGGAATTTCATTCATATAATATACTGGTTATGTAAGATTGAGATATGACACAACGTTGAAAAAACGTTAATTTAGGTATTTATTTCACTTCCTATCATACGATATATTTGGATTATCAACGAGATTATCGCGTCTATGGGTCCAAGGGAGGTAATCCTGTTCCCCGTTTGTGGTAGAAGCCTTTCTGAACGTGTTCGATGCACACGTGCGTACGGCTGAAGTTCTCCAATGGTTTGTACACACGGTTTCCGTACTGGGACGAAGTCAGCAACGGAACAGTCCGACGAGTTTCCTGGAAACAAAGACGGCCATATCCTTTACACTTCCGGTGTTATCATCGTCAAGGATATACATGCACGTCACACAATCAGTACATATTTAACGTAGATCCTATTAAAATAGCATTTTGCATATTTCTTTGCAATAAATAATACGTCTATTCTCAATGTTCGGTTTAGACATTTCAGTAAAAAGGAAATTAATGTCAGTATGACATTCTCACAAAACCATTTTTGACGGCTTCGTTACTTCAAGCAGAGACGTATTATATATTTTACGTCTCTGCTTCAAGCGAATACTAGAAATATATATATATATATATATTAGAGAATCGTGGATGTAATTTAACTGTATAGATCCTAGTAGTCTATGTCTAAAGTCAATTAGGAAAATAAAGTGCATAACAACTGGAAAACTAATACTATTATATGATTCGCATATCCAAAATTGTCTGTATTTTATTGACCTTGACCTACCTCTTCATGCACAGCTTGACCAATCGTAGACATAGGCTTGCGGTCATCTCTGTGGATCTTACTGTCGTAATCGTAATTTGTGTTGAACAGACGCTTGTAATTGGTCGACACATCCGCCTGCAAAAGGGATCATGAGATTTACATACTCATTAGTTAACAAGACGAAATAACGGACTATCTCCCTTTAAGATATTATGTCTTATTTGGGAACCTCCCCATCAAAAAATAAATAAAAGTAGAAAGTCATTTATTTCAATGTCCAATCACATGCGGACATCTTGGGATAAAAAATATTACCTTACTATGAAAATAAATGTGAATATATTGCTCCCCGCACGGTTTCCTGGAATAAATTTACATTTTGACATATATAATCGGATGTAAAGCCAAATGTTAATGGAGTCGCCTATAATGACGATCCGTATGCGGGAACTTAGAACTGGTGATTCGTGCGATGTATCGTAGAAAATGGCGATTTTTGTGTGCTGAACCGTGCAAGCGGTGGTTAGTTAGATTTACATAAGGTGATAGATTTACATAAGTGTCTAAGACACTTGTTTCTATTTCCTATTTTGTGTTTTGTTACAAAAAATGTTTTATATATATATTGCATATATATGTAAATAATTGAAATACTTGAATAAAAGAAAGTTTAAACTAAACGGTGGTTCGTGTATAGGATTGTTAAAACGACAGTTCGTGCACGGGAACTTAGTAATGGCGATACATGCGGAACCTTAGAAATGGTTGTTCTTGTGCTGGACCTTAGAAATAGTGGTTGGTGTGCGTGACAATATAAATGGTTGTCTGTGTGCTGGACCTTAGAAATGGTGGTTGGTGTGCGTGACCTTAGAAATGGTTGTTCGTGTGCTGGACCTTAGAAATGGTTGTACATAAATTAAAAAAGCTATGGTATTTCTGGAAATCCATTAAATTGGTTTTCTGATTACGTAAGGAATCGCCATCAACAGGGGATTTGTCAAGGCTCGCCTGAAAGCAGCATCAAGTTCAAGTTCTTTATTAACTTTAAGTCTTGCGACATATAATAAACAGGATATTTACATATGCACAAAAAGCCACATTGGTCACAGGAGAATGAACAATACACACATACAAACTGTCATATATCTGATCGGCGCTTATTTGCCGCTATCGGATACTTTCCACGATTACATAATTCATTAATATTCTGTGTATTAAGTAATTGCACAAGCTTATATACACTAGGGTTATTTCTATAGTAACATTTTAAATACTTCCGTCTAAAATCTGTATATCTTGTGCAAACTAAAACAAAATGAAACTCGTCTTCTATGTCATTAAGATTACACTTTGTGTATAATCTATTAGTTCTAACGGTGCCAACATAACGTCCAGATTCAATGTTTAATTTGTGAGCTGACAGCCTAAGTCGAGCAAGTTCTTTCATGTAACAGATATTAACTGATTTTGTTAGATACGATTGTAGTAAAATTGTACTGTTTAATTATCTGTAAAGCATACCTTTAGACATACTTGTAGTTAAACTATATCCCTCTTGATTAAAAATGTCAAATAAGCTTGCCTTAATAATTAAAAAAGTGAAATTGTTTCCATTCTGTGCGTCCCAGATATATCCTAAGCATAAACGATACAATTCATCTTTTATTCCACAGACCCATGGATCCTTGATTAGCAGCATATTTTCATAACAGGATTTCAAAATACAGTTTTCGGTATTGAGCCATTTTAACCAATATTTAAATATTTCAGATTACTAGGTTCGACCTTATTTAATAAACGAACAACTGTGGTCCGACCGGTTTGACCGTTTAAACGAAAACGGCCCTGTTTTTTTTTTTTATCCACAATGCTACTTCTAATTCCAAAACAACTAATGCTGGTGTACCGCAGGGTTCTGTCCTGGGCCCTTTACTTTTTCTTCTAGATATGAACGATATTACCGACAACCTTGTTAGTCTGTTACGTTTTTCCGCAAATGAACTAGAAACTACCGCTTATAATGATCCTGAAAAAAATCAAACATGGGAAGACAACTGGCTTGTCAAATGTAATCCTGTGAAAACGGAAGCATTACTAATTTCAAATACCAATGAAGAATTAGTCATTAATTTAGTTTTTAATAATGTTTATATGATAGTATTTGCAGTGTTAAGAAACAAATAGGTATGCTTCGCAAATTAAAATACCCTCTTAATCGTAAAACATTGAATAGGATTTATCTAACTTTTATTTTACCTATTCTGGAATATTGTTGTGAGGTTTGGGACGGTTGCTCTATCGCCGATGCATGTAAATTAGAAAAAAATACAATTAGAAGTTGCGCGTATTGCCACGGGTTTACCCCTCCTCGATATCCAGGGGTTACGCTCACGAGAGCGGAAGTGAGCCTTACCCCTGGATATCGAGGATGACTGAACAACGACTACGAATGTTCAGAAATCTTCATAAATATTTGCCACTGAGTCTAGCGAAACTTTTATTTGGTAGTGAAAACAATTCGAGTGAGGAAAATGAAGAATTATTCATGCATGTCCAGCAGTTCGTGTCGAGTACTTCCTAACTATAGTCTCTTCTCCAACCCTTCTTCTGATCCAACCCCCTCTTCTCCCACCTTATGAAGCTTGCCAATAAATATAACCAATAGTATGTGTGCGGTATCCCCTTTATACATGTATGAAATTATCTCGGATTTTTTACCCATGTGAAAGTCAGTATACAATATATGAATATGTGTCACGGGCGTTTCTAGGATATTTAAAAGAGGGGGAGTAGAATCAAATTTTGGACCTTTTTTTGGCTAAAAAACATAAAATAATTGTGAACTGCACTAATGTAACGGTTCCTGACTTGGAGCATGTATATTTTATAGTTAAAGTGTCAGGGTTTGACATTTTTTATGCCGAATTATCTCCATTAATTGTCTATGGTATATTGAAATGATTGGATGGATCTTAACAGCAGTGGACCAATAACGAGAAATTCCAAATTCTAGTGTATAAGGCGTTACTTAACATTTCAAGAGTCCTAGGCCAGGATTCAATACAATATTAGCAGATTACGATAGTGTTTTTGTTGTTTTTTGGAAAAAAAGGGGGGGGGGGGGCGTACGCCCATTACGCCCTCACCTGGACCCGCCCCTGGTTAAACGAGTTGCGGACCGTAGATTGATTCTTACAACGGTGTTTCGTGTGCAGGATTGTAGAGGGGCTATACTTTCGGCGATGGACCACTTACCATTATAGTTCGTGTGCTGTGAGCTTATAGCACGGGCACTTGAGTGGGTATGCCAATAGAATAACAATGACAACGTCTAATTAAGCAAGGACCCGACCAGGTTCGGTCTTTTTGGAATTATTGTTTTTCATCTTAACTCAAGTGCCTGTGAGTTGCTCTCCATTGTGACAGGGAGCCTAGATGACTTACCACGGTAGTCCGTGTACGTGGGCCGTAAACTGTATCCTTGTTGTCATCAATCATTTGTCGTGACCACTGTTTGATGCCGGGCCAGTCCTGGGACCCATCTCCTACGTTTGACAGGTGACGATTACTTATCCGGTCTCTCCTCTAAAATTCAAAAACCAAGTATATGTTGCTACAACAATACCCGCAGATTTCAAACTAAATTAAACATTCGACACTGTTTTGACTCCTTTCTAAAAAGTGCCCAATATTTCGACTTCATTCAAACAGACGCCACTATATTAAATTGTTTTGCTGTTTTAATGTCTTTCATTTCAGTGATAACACTATAATTAAACGGAATAAAAAACAAAAAGGCGCCTCATACTGTAGCTTCTCAGATTTGTTTTAGTCTTAAATTGATAGAATACGTACCTGCAAGATTTTTTTCCATAAACCAGCCAATTCCCCAGGAGTGGTGTCGGTCTTCCCATACAGGGACATCTTCCCTTCAAATAAATTCTCAGACATCTTCAAATTTTCGGCACGTTTTCTTTTCAATTAGTAAAACCAAACAAACAGCGCCGTCACTAGGACGAGTAATTGTGACGTCATTTAATGTACCAGGTGACATGGAATGCAATTGTTACGTCATAATTACATTCCTTTAATGAATTATGTCTGTTGTAACTATACTGAATGACACCAGTCTCCAAAATTCGAGAAAAGAAAGTGAAGTCTATCAAGGTCTTGTTTGGCATTGAATAATAAACCACTTGCTGTTACAGTGATGATAGGAGAATTGCTTATAAATGGTGTTAGCTTCACTAAGGAGTCATTCTGTTATCAGATTAAAAATAAATGTTTTCTTGTACTAAAATAACAATTGGTCAAGTTGACTAAGGCAAATGTGCCGGAATATAGTGGAATGTCGTTCTGTGGATAATTTAATTATTGGATAAACAATATTCAGTTTTCGTTTATTTTTTCATATTTTGCTTCTCCGATTCATTGAGATTTTAGCTTTAATTTTAGATTTACTTGATTAATTTGGATATATAAGAAATAATAAAAGTAGACGATGTTTTTTAAAAAAAAACAAAAAAAACCAATCGATTCATTTTTTGTTAACAATGTAAGCATGTCGGGTTAGCAAGAAAGGATCAAATAAAAACGTAATTGTGAAAATATTCACTAAGGGTTTACTGCTACTACGAAAATAATTTTAACAAATTCTGGAATTTAAGCCGACACTAGTCCCACCACAGGTCGTGGACATTCCATGAGGTCAAGGTTTAGAGTCAGACCCGTCCATGATCAAGTTTTCTCTAGCACAACATTTCAAATGACACTAATGATTCTGTTTGTACATATAAAGGGAGATAACTTAATTACGAATAAAGAAATTTATGTCGTAATATCATCTAAAAATACAAGTTCAAGAAGAAAATTTTGCAAAAATAGTTTAGTTTGATTGGTGTTCATCGTCCTCTCAGCCTTCGGAGACATCAACGAAAAGAAAGAGGATGGTAACGTAAATTGTTCTTAGTTCGGCAATTCCTGGGCCAGGTGTATCTGCTCTGATCTATAATAGTCCTGCGAAAACGACTACAATTTTATAAATTGATTCCATGCGACACTTGTGCTGGCTCCTTTGTGTCCGGTCATACCACTGCTCACAAGTATCATTGGCAACTAGTTTGATCTTATTCTGTCGTTAGAATAGCTATGCTTTCATGTTATATTTATTTGGAAAAAAGTTTCTTGTATCATCCCCCCTGCAACTGTGCCGCCTCCAGTTCAAACCAACGAATAAACAAATGTATGCTTACAGCATATAGCAAACGTCAACTTTAAGATTTCCTTTCAAAACGATCAATGTTATACTTAAAACAAGAGGTAAGCAAACGGATGCATAATACGCCCGTCTGACCCAATCTAATGATTTTTTGTTTGTTAGATTAAATCTATATTGTACTTGTTGACCCCACATGAACCTCCATGCCAAACAATAGGACAATAACACATGATCTAACTGAACTGTACACAACTTGAGAAACTTCCACCGAGAAATTGCCAAACACGTCCAAAAATAGAAACCATTTTCCCCAAATTAAATCCATATTGTCCTTGTTAGACCCCACATGAACATCCATGCCAAACATTAGGACAACAACCCATGATCTGACTGAACTGTACACCACTGAAGAAACTTGCACCAAAACTTTAACCGAGAAATTGCGCGAAAAAAGGTAAGTCCCAAACACGTCCAAAATACCCAAAAACAGAAATTGTTTTCCCAAATTAAAGCCATATTGTCCTTGTTAGACCCCCGTGAACATCCATGCCAAACATTAGGACAATAACCCATGATCTGACTGAACTGTACACCACTGAAGAAACTTGTACCTAAACTTTAACTGGATGGACGGACGGAAACGGAAAGTCTTCAATACATGCAAGTCTGCCTGTTTGCTATTGAATAATCATAAAAACAAGCAGTGCAACTGTTGGGTGAAGTAAAATGCAAATGTTCAATTACTCAATAGCCTACCTCATTTATAACATCGTATCGGATTGGAATTAAACTGATCACATTACCAAAAGATTAAACATTGTGTCGTCCTCTAGTGCTCCCTTCCCCAAGTCATATTTTTCTTATTTGGAGCCTCTCTTAGAGAAATTGAACTAGCCCGCCAAACCAAGAGTTCTAAATGACAACAATGGCCTGTCAACCCGTTGTCTGTTAGTTTTGTTTCGGTGTAATAATTTATTGCCAGTGCGGTATGCCAACACGTTTCTTTGTTTCTTCTTGATCCACAAATCATCTGCGTCTAACAAGATTTATCTGGTAGAAAAAAGTTGTATTTCCCTACAAGGGCAACAAAAGCATATCGCTTTTGAAACATGTTACTAGACTCCGTTAACAGTTTTGGACTTACATTTATGCCCAAGGATATAAGAGTTGTGACATGCAAGTGATGTTTGTCATTGGTTTTTTTCCTAAGAAATCAATTCCCAACATATTACAAGAACCGACACCAATCTGATTCCTACTTAAGTGTAGTTTTGAATTGTATGACTAATTTAGAACCTCGCAAGTTCCTTTACTACTTATGTTGTCTCCTGCCTTAAACAAGAGGCCCATGGGCCTAAACGGTCACCTGAGTTAACAGTATTTATTTCTGTTGTTGAAATATGTACCAATTTGAGTAAAAAATAGTATAATGTTAACTTAACTTTGTCAGGACCATGAGCTGATCATTCCTAGACCAATTTTAAGTGAGATCGGCCTATTAGAACTTAGTAGCAAAATAGCGGCCATGGCAGCCAAATTGTATTTCTGATTGACCCGAAAAATAACAACACTTTGTCAGGACCATGAGGCGATCATTCCTACCAACTTTCAGTTCAATCGGTCCAGCAGAACTTGACTTTAAGTTTGAAATAGGTTTTCAAAATGGCGGCCGTGGCGGCCATATTGGATTTCTGATCGACCCGAAAAATAACAACACTTTGTCAGGACCATGAGGCGATCATTCCTACCAACTTTCAGTTCAATCGGTCCAGCAGAACTTGACTTTAAGTTTGAAATAGGTTTTCAAAATGGCGGCCGTGGCGGCCATATTGGATTTCTGATCGACCCGAAAAATAACAACACTTTGTCAGGACCATGAGGCGATCATTCCTACCAACTTTCAGTTCAATCGGTCCAGCAGAACTTGACTTTAAGTTTGAAATAGGTTTTCAAAATGGCGGCCGTGGCGGCCATATTGGATTTCTGATCGACCCGAAAAATAACAACACTTTGTCAGGACCATGAGGCGATCATTCCTACCAACTTTCAGTTCAATCGGTCCAGCAGAACTTGACTTTAAGTTTGAAATAGGTTTTCAAAATGGCGGCCGTGGCGGCCATATTGGATTTCTGATCGACCCGAAAAATAACAACACTTTGTCAGGACCATGAGGCGATCATTCCTACCAACTTTCAGTTCAATCGGTCCAGCAGAACTTGACTTTAAGTTTGAAATAGGTTTTCAAAATGGCGGCCGTGGCGGCCATATTGGATTTCTGATCGACCCGAAAAATAACAACACTTTGTCAGGACCATGAGGCGATCATTCCTACCAACTTTCAGTTCAATCGGTCCAGCAGAACTTGACTTTAAGTTTGAAATAGGTTTTCAAAATGGCGGCCGTGGCGGCCATATTGGATTTCTGATCGACCCGAAAAATAACAACACTTTGTCAGGACCATGAGGCGATCATTCCTACCAACTTTCAGTTCAATCGGCCCAGCAGAACTTGACTTTAAGTTTGAAATGTAAAATGTTAACGGACGACGGACGACGGACGAAAACGGATAGCAATAGGTCACTTGAGCTAAAGCTCAGGTGACCTAAAAATGGAAAATTCTTGAAAGAAATGGAATAAATTATTAGAAATCACACCAAATCCCCGACAAACCCAAAAAGGATAGAATACATGTGTATTGTATATTTTACCTGTTAGTTCAACTTTTGATTGAAAGAGAGAAATGCAACTCCCTGCCACTTTACTCTAAAAACTTAAAATTAAAATAATTATTATGTTTCAGGTTAACTAAATAGGTGCACTAATAAATGGACACACTTGGACTACTGGTCTTCTCAGCCCCGCCGCCCCCAAATTCCATTTCTGTAAATTTTCTAAGAAATAGAATTCCCAACATATCACAAGAACCGACACATATCTGATTGTTACTTAGAGTGCAGCGCTTTTCATCTCAATATTGTGAAGACTACCTAGCCTTTTGGTTTTGCGAAAAAACCGAAGCGCAAGATTGTAAAATGATGAAGAAAAACTGAACTTTGGTCAATAAGGGGCTATAAGTCACCAATCATACACGGTCAAGTGGTCAACATTCACAAAAAAACAGCATTTTTTTTTGTATATTTCAAAGTTTTCTTAAACTTTCAAGATGCACACAACATAGTGTGTGACTGTGATCTTTAGAAACTATCACAAAGAAAGGCCTATGGCCGAACTGTTGAATTAAAATAGTGTATAAAACTAATAAACATATTCAATATTTCAATTTTAAATTCATCTGCCTGTCTTTAGTGTTTTTGAATAAATTTATGATTTCCTGGTACTCCATCTGGGTAAGGTTTATAGCTGAATTTGAAGCTTATTCTCATTAAATCTTCAAGGTGTTTGGTAGTTAGAGAAGTCTGGGAACTTAGTCTCGGCGTGATCCGAAGAAATATTAGAAATAGAAATCGGATGATCTGACTCAACAGGGTCAATAGTATGGGCCGATTCAGACAAGGTTTGCTCTGTCGAATCATCGGCGTCACCAAGGTCAAATGTCATCTTCGTATTAGTAACCGAGGCAGGCACATTTTTCGTTTGAAAAAAGCTAAGCCAACTCTTCTGCTTGTTATGTGAATTTTGTCTTTCATTTGTGAATTTTTTTCGCAGCATTGTGAAAACATATGGCTTTTTTCAAATTGTGAAGTAGCCGAAGATCGGCCTCTTATATAGTAGGTGGAAAGGCGCTGGAGTGAACAGTTTTGAATTGTAAATGACATTAATTTAGAACCTCACAAGTTCCTTTACTTTTTATGTTGTCTCCTACATTTGTGAAAATGGGATGATCGACTAGAAAAAACACCGGAAAACTTTCTAATTTAATGGAAGACTAGACAAGATATGATGTTACACCAGCATCTTTAATTTACAAGTCCTTAGTACAACACAAGTTTAACTCTTGCGCTTCCTGACCCTCATGGGTTTTGCTGGTGCTTTCTTGGCCTGCTTCTTCAGTTTTCCACACTCGACGGTAATCAAGCGGTTTCTCTGTTGAATAAAGAGGTTTCAAAATCAACAGAATATCACAAACCAACATACATGTGTATTTAGTCTAAAATTAATGCCATGCAACATTCAGAGAAAAATAATTAACTCATTTAAAAAACTCTTTTAGCAATTACTATAAAGAATATGGTTCATCATTTAATGGTATTATAACAGACTAGACCTATTCTAATTTATTGAGATAGGGCACGACGCTGTTCGTTTTTATTTCTTCATGCCTCCACCATAATAATAATCTATTAAATCTTAATATTTCGGGATACACTTTTTATATGGTGTATATTCTTATTACCATATTGAAACATGCCTATATAAGCAGTTCTCCTTGGTATCAACTCATTCACTCCTGAACACACATTTGAACTCTTCCATTTCAAAGGTTGAAATAGTTCATGATGAAATTTCAGGGGTGAATGAGTTGAAGTAACTTTGAACAAGCAAATTCGTGGAATTTATATCCCCCGCTTGCAGGACATATTGTAGGTTAACATTATTGAGGCTAGGTTAAAACATGTTAGTATCGTGCTGTTGAGAAATAATATATATAGCTTGAAACTTGAAGAAAAAAACACCCTATACCTCATTGATTATCCGTAAATATGCACAAATCACATTGGTTGGCAAACTTAGCATGAGTCTGATGTGCATACAGAATTTGGTTGAAACATCTGAACAATATCTACAGCAATGATCACACAAAAACCAAAGTGTGCCCGAGACGGGTGGTAAGACGGAGGAACCCAAACATTGTCATCAAGTTTGAAGGAATGTGGCTAATATTGCTAGAGTTATTAAGGGGAAACTGCAGTTAATGATGTTTTTCGTAAATCAAGGGGCCATTACTCTGCCAAATGGAGTCTGATTAAAATGGGTTTCAAACTTGGCCGAGCCCTTAATGCGTTGAACCTTGTTACTAAGTTTGAAGACAATAAGATAATATTTGTGAGAGTAAATGAACAGAAACGGAAGATAATGACGGTTTTCGTTATTCAAGGAGCCATAACTCTGCCAAATAAAGTCCACTGAAAGTGGTCATTGAACTTGGCCAAGCACTTAAGGCACTTCCCTGTTATCAAGTTTGAAGAAATTTGGTTAACATTTGCTATAGTTATTGCACGGAAACGAAGTGTGACATACAGATGGACAAACCCAAATAAATATCCCCCATTTCGGTGAAAGCGGGGGATAATAACATTACTCGGTTACTTACTGCCTGTTTCGCCTTCATAAGCTTGAATCGGTCAAAGTCTGACAATGTCTTCCTCTGCAATAAAAAAGGTTGTCATTTATTCAAACTGTACAAAGCTTCTTGCATTGTCAAAAGACAAGAAAAGTGAAAAAGCATGTCAGAACTGGTGTTTGTCATCCAATCAATTCAGACGGCAATTCCTATCAAGAACTCAGGTTCATCATCCATGCTTTCTACACAAAAGTAGAGTAAAAGGTCAATACAAATAATGAAGTATCCAGAAACACAATGCTTCATGATTTAATATATTCATGTGGATACAAAACTGCAAGAAATTGTGAATTAGCAACAGTCATAAAACGTCCGTCACAATGATTTGAGACCAAAACATTATCTAAAATTAATATCAGAAGAGCAAGAATGATAAAATATGCAAAAAATGTCACCCAACAGCTGTAAATTCTCTATCAAGATGTTATCAACAGCAACCTAGAGCGTGTCAGAACTGGTGTTTGTCATCCAATAAATTCAGACGGCAATTCCTATCAAGAACTCAGGTTCATCATCCATGCTTTCTACACAAAAGTAGAGTAAAAGGTCAACACAAATAATGAAGCTTCCAGAAACACAATGCTCCATGATTTAATATATTCATGTGGATACAATTCTGCAAGAAATTGTGAATTAACAAGTCATAAAACGTCCGTCACAATGATTTGAGACCAAAACATTATTTAAAATTAATATCAGAAGAGTAAGAATATGATGATAAAATATGTAAGAATGTCACCCAACAGCTGTAAATTCTCTATCTAGATGTTATCAACAGCAACCTAGAGCAAGTCAGAACTGGTGTTTGTCATCCAATAAATTCAGACGGCAATTCCTATCAAGAACTCAGGTTCATCATCCATGCTACAGCATATATGATATAAATATTATTTTAACTTTATTAAAGCTTAAAATGAATTGTGAATCAAAAGTCAACTCAATTGTGAACAATTTCAGATTTTTTTGAGTTGATAAATATGCAATACAATTGTTGAATCTAACATGTTTCAATGTGTATTTAAGACCAACGCAATGTCATCATGGTTTTAATCTAATAAATCCTCCCTAATGGTTTGGAATTTGAAGCAATTACTACTGAAAATGCCAAGTCTATTTATTCTTAAAACCCAGCAAACATTACATACTTGCCATCTTTTCAAATTTTTCAGGGAGGCAAAACACTGTGAGGCAAAAATCCAAAGAGTCAAGAACTTAAATTCTTACTGAGTTATTCATTAAGTTAATAGCAAGTACTATTATACACATTAGGATTGTTTCAGCAGGCAGTACGGCGTGTCAGAACTGGTGTTTGTCATCCAAAAAATTCAGACGGCAATTCCTATCAAGAACACAGGTTCATCATTCATGCTTTATGAGAAAAAATATTCCAATTGCTACCAAATTACAGGCGTTTCAGATATGCACACTACATGTAGGTGTCGGGTATGGTCTCGAGAGTTGGTGATAAAAAGATATTACAGTTTGAGTCACCGTGTTTAAAACCCTAAATAAAAGAGACCAATTGACTTACAGCCAAGAAAATAGGTTAACTTAATATTGTAACAGTAAACTTAATTAACCTTCTACACCAGCAGGACTTCATTGTAGAAGTATGGTTCACAAGAATCCAGGAAATACATTATAATCTAGATTTCTGATGCCAATTTTTTTTTTTGTGAAAAGGGAAAAGTATAAAATAGGGATCCAGAAACCAATCTCTGTTAAAACATGCTAAGTCTATATGTTCTTATTGAAGTCCAGCTGAAACAAGTGTTTTCTATGGTGTCTCTGGGCCTCTATTATTTTTTTAAGGCTTGAAAGTAAACATTCTGGTTAACATTTGTCATCTCTTCATATTTATTTCACTGCATGTCAGAACTGGTGTTTGTCATCCAATAAATTCAGACGGCAATTCCTATCAAGAACTCAGGTTCATCATCCATGCTTTGTGAAACATAATATTCTTGTTGTTTATACTGTCAGAAGATGATTAAGAAGAATGCATTGATCAAAAACACGGGTCACTTTTCCATATACTTCATGATATTGACTTGATAATCAAAATATGACCACTGGCCTTGACAACATTTTATGTGTTGTATTTGATCTATGATTGTAAACTGAGATAGTTTTGCTGTAATCAATAGTAAACACACATTTTAACATTATCATATTCCTTTGATGAAAGGTTTTAAAGAAACATTCCTTAATGAAAAGAAAAGTTTGAGATGATCTTTGAATGCAAATTGTGACGCGCATGGATACTTACTTTAGCTTTGTTGACGATCTTCTTTGCCCAGGTTGTCTGGTCCCATTTGGCCTGCACTTTTTCTTTATTCCAGACCTTGAGGAGGTTGCCAGTGCGCATAGACCTGCCGATATCTAACTTAAATTGTGTGAGTTGTAGAGCCTTGTAGTTGACTTGTTTCCTATTGACACCTGTGCCTGGTCCATCTACTAGTGCCTATGACAGATAGAAAATTCAGATACTATTATCAACAGAATCAGGTTATAATTTCAAACAAGAGTACAGCAGAGATGAAATAATGGAAGACTTTGTCTCATGCCATGAAGTATCCATTAAAGCTTGTTGTGTATATCAGTGCACAAGACCCTATATCAATGTGAAGCACTCCACCTACCAAAGGTAAATCATCTAGTTTGGTGGAAGTAGGTTAAATAACAAGAAAGTTATGATTCTGGCAAACTATGGTATTAAATAACAAAACTGAACAAAGGGACATACTATACATAATTCTGTATATATCGGTACAGTGACTATACCAGTATGCAACATTCAGTCTTTTCCCACGACTCCTAAATTTACATAAACAAGGAAAATTATGCACAATTACAAGTGTTTTAATGTTGGGTTAACTTACCCTGTTTTGGTCAATAATATCTACAATGACACATAGTTTTCCCTTATCAGGACCGTAGGCAAATATGGCCACCCGCCCGATTTCTACGAAGCGGAACTGCAAAAGATGAAAACATTAAATTAGTAACAGGTTTATAGGCCAGGATCACTCATCTATTTTCCTTGTCTTTAATTTGTTTAAATGAGCCAATCAAAAATATAAAAGCTTAGAATTTGCTGATTTAATAACAATCATGTTGCATATTCAAAGAATTCCACATGGAACAGTTAAAAAGAATGACCCAATATCAAAAAAGAAATAAAAACAATTTAAAGTAAGGTTATGTTACTTTAGTTCCTTTTTAACAGTTACTCTCAGACCATGTAAATGAACTTTCCTTTTATCACATGCAACAATTTTCGATCTGGAAAATCCTTAATCTTTTACAACAATATAGGGTGCCAATATGGGTTGTCCAGACTCAATAAATTATACCTTTTACAGGTTGGGTAACAGTTACCCATTTGAGTAACAATTTTATAACCGAAATGGGTAAGTGAAATAAAACACACATAATCATTACCCCATATGCACCCAACCTGTTTTATTGATATCTGAAATCTAAACTCCTCCATGATCACTAGGACCTGCACTATTAAAGATCACTGTAAATTTGAAACAGTTGTCATTATTTTTTCTAATGGAACAAAAACATGGCTCCCAGAAAGAAATTAAGACATGGATATCACCAATCTTTATCTGACTGCTGATCAGTCCAACTTGTATTTGACAGATACAGACAAATCAAATTTTATGCATCCCCTATGCTGTCCAAGTTTACACCATAAAAGCATCCTTCAATGAAAAATTCGTAAAAAAATCATATTTTGGTAAAGTGGTCACTTTGGCCCCTCTCTGTCAAAATGTCCGGAATCTGGCGGTCTAATGCTAAAAGTAAATTTACAAGTATGACTGGGTCGAAAACAATAACTAAACAACTGCATTACTGACATGACAACGCAATTTATCAATGTTAAAGTCTACGACCAATCACAATGTTGTAATGGCATGGCCTGAAGTAATATAATATGATTATGACCAGAGTTGGGGAGTCCCATTCTTCGCGAGCATGACGAGTGACTTCCCTTATGCTAGTATATTTGCAATATGTTTGCAGCAATTTAAATGTCTAATGATATCATGTGGTCACTCAATTTTCCCGTCAAAAACACCGCATCTAGGTACACAAAGACCTTATACTTAATGCTTCATATGCATTAGATGTTCACGTTTTGTGTATGGAGGCTGCCATTTTTGTTTCCACGCGGTACTCGGGTCAATAGCAGATTTGACAAAATGTAAGTATTTATAGCAGGATTTTTGCAGCAAATATAACACAAACCGAAGCATTCAATATAAAGGCTAAAGTATGACAACTCAGATTCTTTAATTTAAGACTTTGACACCAATTGTTGCACTTATATCGGCAGAGAAATTACCTCACTTAACACCATGGTTGGACTTGCGAGAAAGAGGCTGTAGCGGAAGCGGATGTAGGTAATTTGAACAATTCAATGGTTTGTGGGTAAAATCTCGAAGACTTTTCATTTAGAAGTTTGATGCCCATAGCCTTGTAAATGACACGTCGAACACACAAAGTATCAAACAAAATCACCTTCCTTTTACATATCAAAATAATTTCAAAAGAGAAATTGTATAATAAGAAAAAGAAAAAATACTGGTTAACTCTAGAGGCCTTCCGAGAAATTGAGTTTCCGAATGTTTGACAGACAGCTCAGCTGATAAACTCATAAAGGGAAATCCGCTGCTGCAATATTGAACTTAAATATGTATTGTAAAACAATTTTCCAGTCTATATGTAGACAGTCACGCCGATTATACCACAGATCTGTTGTTGATAACGCTATTTCACAGGTAAAATAAAGATGTCATTATTCACAGAAAATTTACAAAAGCACTAATCTAGCTGAGAGTTTGCTAAAACGCAGCCTAGCTCAGACCCTGGAGGTCAAAAAATATACCAATAAAGGCATGGTCGTCTTAGGGGTGGGGGTCAGGACAGACCAAAATAGTCCACTTGGTCGATTTGCATGGGAATCAACAATTACACTGGCCCTTAAGGCAGATCAAAAGGATTAAAAAGTTCTACAGATGGCTGGTAATGGCACTAAACAGTCTGGCTTGATTCTGCATGCTTCTGCAATTATTCTGAACAGTTAAATTACAATTATGTAAATGCTTGTGAAATATCCGCCAAATGTGTGTAGAAGCCAAATACAACATTGTATTGCATTGCACTGACATAAGTCACATTTCCATATTATTCATGACATGAGCCAGAATACAATGTAGTGTAACAGGAGAGGAAAAATGCATGGTCAGACCGGAATCGAACCCAGGACCCTCCAAACTCAGACAGATGACTGTTGGCTTGCTGTATTTCAACTATAGTTACTCTGTAATAGCTCATATCATATTCTATGGAATGAGTGTCAGTTCATAGTTTTTTTGTAGTTTGTTTTACATTATATTTTGGTTACAAAATGTTATGCTCTGCCTGGTCATGATCTGCTTTTACATCATAATTACAATTGTAATAATAAAAAAAAAACATTTGTTTGTTCAATATCAAAACATTGGAATGACTGGTTTAATATTTATATTCCTTGATCAGGCAGCAACAAAATCCAAGATTCCTGATCGTTTTGCCCAGGCCGTAGTTGATATAGTTGGCAGTGAGAATGTATCAACAACCGATGCTGTTCGGGAACAACATGGCCATGATGAGTCCTATCATACGTAAGTACTGTGTAGTGTACTAATCTAATAAAACCATCCCCATTTAGTCTTTTTGATCATTATGAATTCCATTAAAAAAAATCATTTAAACCTCTCCTATACCTAGGCTAAAGACTCCATGACAAACGATTTTTATCTTTTTGCTCAATATGTGACCTCGATCTTTGGGAGATAGTTAGCTCAGGCCACAGTGGCTGAATGATTAAGGTGTGACCGTGTCTGCCCATATACAAACACTTAAGGCTTCCACCACTGGGTTAGGGGTTTGTGGCCTATGTGGAGCAGTCGCAAGATCTGTAGCTATTCTCTCAGTACTCGTTTTCCTCCACAACCAAAACCCGGTTTGTCCTTAAATTATCATAGCTGTTAAAAAGGACATATTAAAGCACAAACAAACCAAGAGATAATTAAGGAAAATGCTGCATGTTTACACTTTGTGATTTTAAATTTGACTGTGAAATGAGAGTTCTAGAAATACTCCATTGCTCACATCCCAGTGATAGATCATAAGAGTAATAATGTTAAACAAAAAAATTCTTATCAGTTAAAGAAGTTCTGCTCTTGACAGATATGCAATTCCATAACATACCCTAAATAAGATGGAGATATTAATCTTCAGGGAGATACATTGTATATTCATGAATTTAGATTGTTTTGTAAATTTGCATTCCATAGATAACCACTATCTTTGAAATAGCATCAGGTCTCTCAGTCATTTATTCTAGAACTAGAAAATGTCTGTAAGACATAATTAAATGTCCCCGCTGCCATGTGAAATTAGTTTCGGTGTTCTATAAAAAGTTACAACCACTTTGATCTTGATAACCTGAAACATGCACACATACATGGTACTACACTTAAAGTTGATAAGTTGATTTTAATATTCATATGTTTTTTCTGTGTGTTATTACCATCTCCATAACATATTGAATGAAGTTGCTAAGTGTTTAAATTGAATCAGTTGATGATTTTCTATATATAGCAACAGTGACCTTGGCCTTGACCTTGGAACCCTGAAACACAACAATGTCCAAAGTATACTCATACTTGACCTTTGCATAAAGTTTGACCAAAATCCATGAAAGAATGAAGTTGCTAAGTGTTTAAACTGAATCAGTTGAGGATTTTCTATATATATAGCAAGTGTGACCTTGGCCTTGACCTTTGATCCCTAAAACACAATGATGTCCGAAGTATACCCATACATGACCTTTGTATAAAGTTTGACTAAAATCTGTCAAGGAATGAAGTTGCTAAGTGTTTACATTGAATCGGGACGGGACAGACAAGGGCAACACTATATGCCCCCCCCACCCCCCCATTTTATGGAGGGTTGTACCTTTGTATAAAGTTTGAGCAACATCTGTCAAAAAATGAAGTTGCTGAGTGTTTACATTGAATCAGGACAGGACGGGTGTTTACATTGAATCAGGACGGGACGCGAGGCGACGAGACAGACATGGGCAACACTATATGCCCCCCCTTTTTTTGGCGGGGGCTTAAAAACCCTACAAGCATTAATTGTACACCAAGTAAAGTACACACGGATATAATAGTGATTAACAGTAATGTGTAGAGGTTGCCATCACTATCGTTTTAGATCTTTGAGAGAAAAATCTCTACCACTGAAGTAATATTTTAGCAAAAAACTTAGAACTTATGATTGATAATGTTTCACTTCAGCACTTCACCGCCAGACATTGTGGCTTTTGCTGAGAGTACAGAACATGTGAGTCAGGTGGCCAAGTTGTGCAATGACCATGAAGTGCCACTCATCCCCTTCGGCAGTGGTACAGGACTGGAGGGAGGCATAAATGCATTGAAGGTCAGTAAGGGTGATTAGATATGGAGGGGGACATATAATTGACATCATATTACTATACTATTGTATTACATAATTATACAATATAACGTTACCTTTTTTTGACATCACATATCTACAATATTTTGACCTCTTTTACAGGGAGGACTGTGTCTTGACCTGTCTAAGATGAAGAAGATCCTATCTGTTCACCCTGAAGATTTTGACTGTACAGTCGAGGCTGGTGTTACCAGGGTCACACTCAACAACTACCTGAGGGACACAGGACTGACATTTCCCATTGGTACATAGCAGGTTTTTTTTTCCCCAGCTTTCACTGAAACGGGGGATATTTATTTGGGTTTGTCAACAACAAATGTCAATCGATTTTCCACAAACTTTGTCACAGAGCCAAGTTTGATGACCACTTTCAGCGGACTTTATTTGGCGGAGTTATGGCCCCTTGAATAATGAAAAACGTCTATCTGCAGTTTCAGCTTTATAACTCTAGCAAATATTAGCCAAATTCCTTCAAACTTAATAACAATGTTTGTGTTCCTCTGTCTTTCCACCCATCTCGGGCACTCTTTGGTTTACGTGTGATAAATGCTGTAGATATTGTTCAGATGTTTCAACCAAATTCCGTATGCACATCCGACTCATGCTAAGTTTGCCAACTGATGTGATTTGTGCATATTTATGGATAATCAATGAGGTATAGGGTGTTTTTTTCTTCAAGTTTCAAGCTATATATTATGTCTCAACAGCACGATAATCAAATGTTTAAAACTGACCTCAATAATGTTAACCTACTATAATATATGTCCTGCAAGCGGGGGATATAAATTCCACGAATTTGCTTGTTTCATCATGCATAGATTACATTTAGTCTTTGATTTCAATAAATTTTATTGTCAAAGGACAAATGGATTGGGCAGCAGGCATAGGCTATTTAAGCCCTTTCCAAACATAGTAACAGACAGTGGTACAAGCATAGACATAGACATTAGACCACATATAAACAAGTTGGTATTATCAAATTAATAATCAAATTAGGGGAAACAACTACTAATACTCATTTTTATCATAATTGAATCTAATGGTTTAAATTCTAACCTTTTATTTTGATATTGAAAAGACATATAAAAAATATACCGGTATATATATATATACATATTATGAAGAGAAAAGGAAAATAATTTGTTGATGGAGCTGCATGTATAAACATTTGATGGGATTAAATTACTGCACCCAACAGAAACAGGCCAAAAAGTCCATTGTATCACACAAGGCCATCCGCTGATGAGTTTGGAAATTCAATCCCACCAAATAGTTTAATTTATGCATATTAAACACAGGTTAGATATATAATTAACATGTTGTAAAGCTTTATATTCTAATTTATGTAGTTGTTTCCCAATATTTTTTAATAAAATAGTATAATTGGTCTTCTGAACCCCATCCCCCTCACTAATAATATTTAAAAATAAGCAATGAAGACAAATAGGAAATATTAATATTAATATTCATGTACCATTTCTGGAAATCAGAAGAATTACATTTACAAAAAATAAAATAAAATGTAAATAAATAAATAAAGTGTAAATAAATAAAATGTAAAATTTCATTCAAAATTGAAGTTAAATGTCCTGAATTTTCTAGAACTTAAAATGTAATTGGATATAGATAGGAGAATATGTTTATTTTCATTTTCATCACATCTCTCACAACCATTTAGCATGACATCTAATGATAAAGGGTTGTGAGTTTCATGGAATATAAGCTGAAAAAGTAGAATACGATCTTCAGTGTATTTGATACAATCAAGGAAGTAATGAGATGCTGTTTCAAATCTAGAACCACAAGAACATGCAGAGGACTCAGTAAGATAATCTTTCTGATGGCCATTATTTAGGTTACTGGCCTCATTTCTCAACTGACAGAGAATAATATTAGTTTCCCTATTGCCTAAAAACTTAAAGACATCAGTTGTTCTTGTGTTTGAATTTGGAATAGGTGTTATTAACTTTTTGAACTGATATGCGGAACTAATATTTTGAAGGTCTGAAGCGATATTATTTATTTCATTAAACATGGATGGAAAAAAGCTATTAGAATAGTTAACAGCTGGACAAAGAGGAGGATCAAATAATCTAACTGATCTCAGGGGATATCTAGCTAGTGTTGGATCATGAAAATGTGACTCAGTGATTTCTTTCAGACAATATGGAGTTTCATTATTCATAATCTTGTACATCAGCATCATTTTATGTTATTTTCTCCTACTTTCAAGAGGAACCCAGCCTAATTCTTTGTACAAGATATTGTAGGGGATGCCTCTACGCAGTACTGTAATTATTCTTGCAGCCTATAGCTGGACTGACTCTAAGAGATTTTTTAGATTTTGCGAACAATTATCCCAAACAACATCTGCATATTCTAGTATAGGTCTAATATATGATGTATACATTGTGGTTAATGACATTTAGTCTTAATTAGTTCACAAATATTATATCAAGCTTCAGCTCATTAGGAATAGTATGGAGTCAAATGACCTTCATAAGTTCATGCAACAGTTGAAAACAGAAAGTGAAGTTTGAGCCAGCTAGATTTTATTTTGTTTGCAGACCCAGGTGCTGATGCGTCTGTGTGTGGCATGTGTGCCACCAGCGCCTCGGGAACAAATGCTGTGAGGTATGGAACCATGAGGGAGAACGTCCTCAACATGGAAGTAGTCCTCCCTGACGGACGCGTCATCCACACCGCTGGTAAAGGAAGGCGCACAAAGTAAGGATATTAACAGCATCTGTAGGGTGTGAGTAGGGTGGGAATACCTCGAAGGATAGGAGTGGGTGTTGAAATAAAACCGAAGTTATTGCAAATTCAGATATTAAAGATATCTGCATGACTGAAATCTTCTAAATATTTGGTTAATTTACATACACACCTGTAGACTAAAAAATTACTAGTCTCAACTATAGAACAGTTAGAAATAACAGTAGTCTAACACACATGCTACAGTTATTGACGTCCTTGGTTGTTTGATATAGGACATGACAGGACTATCATACACACATCTTACATGCTAAACTGACATCCTTGTTTGAATGATATGATACCTTTTGAGACATGTGCTACAGCAACTGTTTTCCTTGTTTGTAATATATATATGTTTATTTCAATTGCTCATCTGTTTTATTTCTTAACAATATCTACAGAAAAACATCAGCAGGATATAATCTCACCAACCTGTTTGTTGGATCAGAAGGAACTCTTGGAATCATTACCCAGGCAACACTTCGTCTCCACGGCATACCCGAGGCTGTAAGTGACTTGTCTTAATGCAGTCTTCTTAAAACATGTGTTCCTTTAATTTCAATCTGGTTCTACGCACCACCATTATGCAGTTTTACAGATAAATAAAACATACTGTTCCCACGAGGTTTTCAGAGAGGGCAGTTATGGAACCCATACATTACTGTACTTTCAAAGGCAGTTGCTTTGTTAACTTATGCACCTGAACTGTTGTTCAGTAAAGACCTTGGTTAGGTACAAGTATTGATGACCAGGTATAACTAAACTAGTACCAACCAGGTACAACATCCCTCACACTGCCTGCCAGCGGTTGTTTCTGGTATTTACCAATGTGGGTAGGAGACTTATTTGCGGTAGTTCAATTTCAAAGTACCATCAGGGGGTATGTCTAACCCTTGGTCTGTCCACAATATCCAAACATCAGAGTCTATGGTTTCCTGTCAGTGTTTCAGTTAATATTACTTAATCACACTTAGTTAATGATATTTCATCCATTCAGACAATATCAGCAGTCTGCTCCTTCAACACCATCCAGGAGGCTGTGGATTCCACTGTCCAGATCTTACAGATGGGCATTCCTATCGCCAGGATAGGTAAGTCACTTCGTCAGACCAATATACAAACTACAGATCTATACAGATGGGCAGTCCTATCGCCAGGATAGGGAAGTCACTACGTCAGACCAATATACAAACCACAGGTCTATACAGATGGGCATTCCTATCGCCAGGATAGGTAAGTCACTTCGTCAGACCAATATACAAACTACAGGTCTATACAGATGGGCATTCCTATCGCCAGGATAAGTAAGTCACTATGTCAGACCAATATACAAACTACAGATCTATACAGATGGGCATTCCTATCGCCAGGATAGGTAAGTCACTACGTCAGACCAATATACAAACTACAGATCTATACAGATGGACATTCCTATCGCCAGGATAGTTATGTCACAACAACATAACAATTATGCAATTTAAACAAAGACAAACACATGAAAACAAGAATTTCAAATTACTGGATATTATCACCTATCCCTGCTGGCGGCCATGTTGATTTTCAGATTTGGGTCAAAATCCCACTTGGGTGACAATTGATACCATAGTCTTGTGTAGAAGGTTTCATGTAAAACATTTTAAAGCATTCCTTTAGAGGGTTATGGCACAGAAACCATGCTTTTACAAAATCCATAATGGCCGGTAGTGGCCAGGATGTTGACTCATAAGTTGTTCAAATTAAACTTGATAGGGTGACTTATTGATGCTATACATATGTGTAGAAAATTTCTTGAAAATCAAAGCATTCCTTCAAGAATTATTGCATAAAACCAACTCGAAGGTGCTGAAATACAAGATGGCTGCCGGCTGCCATATTGAATTTCAGATCGGACTCAAAATCAAACTTCATTGGGAAAGTTTTATGAAAATCAAAGTATTCTTTATAGAAATATTGAAGGGAAACCTTTGTGCAGATGACAAAAAAAGTCAACACTGACTGAGTAATCCCTATATGTCACCTTGCTGTAATAGGCGACACGAGAGGTACAGTAAATCAAACTAGTTTTGTCTAGCGAAATTATCTGTTTTCTTTGCTGTAGAATTTCTGGACGAGGTGTCAGTAGATGCATGCAATAGATACAGCAAGCTGGACATGAAGGTGGCGCCCTCTTTGTTCTTCGAGTTCACAGGAAGTCCTGATACACTGGACAAACAGGCTGAGGTTGTCAGTAAGTGTGAACTCTCTTTGTTGTGATAGTAAATATTTCTCACAGCCTTTACTAGTGAATGTTCAAGGATCATAATGTTTAGATCAGTTGTAATATATATGTAGATGATGAAGTGGATTTCCTAACAGGACCCTATATGTTACCTGGAGCTGTCAGTGTCTAGATTTAATTAAATTTATCATCAATTCCATCCTTCAGCTTTCTTCAACTGTTGAGTCACTCAGCACTCAAAACGCCTGAACTAGGTTTCTTTGTCCCATTGCTAGGTAGTATGTAGTTATATGTTTTCGTGTTGACTGCTTTCATTAAGTCACTCAATCCAAAAGTTTGTTGTGTGTTAACATGAAGAAATCTTAGCGTCAGTGGATTATATTGTTTCAATAAGAATATTTAACATACAACTTACATTCCCATATATCAAATGAAGAGAGACATATTATATTAGTACTGGTTCTTCTTCTTCTTCTTCTAGTTCTTCTAATCGCAACTTAATTGTCCGGGCCATAACTTTTAAACCATTAAAGATATCTTGATGAAACTTTAGGTATGCATGCATCACCCACAGAAGGTGTGCAGTGCACGAGAATAAGGTCACTGTGACCTTCACCCAAAGGTCAAATAAGTGCAACATTTTCAGTAAATTCTTGACCGGCCCGTAAATTTTAAATCTTTGGAATGTGGAATTTTTTGCACTTATATCAGGTTTTGTGCCCCACTATATACAGAGTTATGGCCCTTTGTTTATTCCTAATACCGAAGTTTGTCCATGGCATAACTTCCATGTTATTTCACCTACGTTGACCTAACTTGCCATACTTTTAATTGTATCTTAGGAAGTAGGGGTGTCGCATTCTAACTTTGGGTCTCATGCCACACTATATAAAGAGATATGACCCTTTGTTATATGTTTTGTTCACAAAAACAAAATTCTAGTTTATGACATAACTCTACTAATTACAGATATAATTTGAATAAATAGATGTGAAAACAAAAATCATTCATTTACAGAGGATATTGCATCAATGAATGGTGCATCCGAGTTTAAGTGGGCTTCAAAGCCAGAGGAGAGGAACCAACTATGGAAGGCTAGACATGACATTCTGTATGCCTGTATGGCTCTCAACCCAGGCAGTAAGGTAGGTATGGAAGGCCAGACATGACATTCTGTATGGCTGTATGGCTCTAAAACCAGGCAGTAAGGTAGGTATGGAAGGCCAGACATGACATTCTGTATGTCTGCATGGCTCTAAAACCAGGCAGTAAGGTAGGTATGGAGGGCTAGACACTAAATTCTGTATGCCTCTCAAACCAGGCAGTAAGGTAGGTATGGAGGGCTAGACACTACATTCTGTATGCCTCTCAAACCAGGCAGTAAGGTAGGTATGGAAGTCTAGACAAGACATTCCTGTATGGCTCTCAAACCAGGCAGTAAGGTAGGTATGGAAGGCCAGACATGACATTCTGTATGCCTGTATGGCTCTAAAACCAAGCAGTAAGGTAGGTATGGAGGGCTAGACATGATATTCTGTATGTCTGTATGGCTCTAAAACCAGGCAGTAAGGTAGGTATGGAAGGCCAGACATGACATTCTGTATGGCAGCGCCTCTCAAACCAGGCAGTAAGATAGGTATGGAAGTCTAGACAAGACATTCCTGTATGGCTCTCAAACCAGGCAGTAAGGTAGGTATGGAAGGCTAGACACGACATTCTGTATGCCTGTATGGCTCTCAAACCAGGCAGTAATGTAGGTATGGAAGGCCAGACATGACATTCTGTATGTCTGTATGGCTCTAAAACCAGACAGTAAGGTAGGAATTGAAGGCCAGACATGACATTAGGTATGGTAGGCCAGACATGACATTCTGTTTGTCTGTATGGCTCTCAAACTAGGCAGTAAGGGAGGGATGGAGGTCTAAACATGCCATTCTGTTTGGCCCTCAAACAAGGCAGTAAGGTAGGTATGGGGGGCTAGACATGACATTATCTGTATGGCTCTAAAACCAGGCCGTAAGGTAGGTATGGAGGGCCAGACATAACATTCTGTAAGCCTGTATGGCTCTAAAACCAGGCAGTAAGGAAGGTATGGAGGTCTAGACACTACATTCTGGACGCCTGTATGGCTCTCAAACCCGGCAGTAATGTAGGTATGGAGGGCTAGAAACTACATTTTGTACGCCTGTATGGCTCTCAAACTAGGCAGTAAGGTAGTTATGGAAGGCCAGACATGAAATTATGTATGCCTGTATGGCCCTCAAACTAGGCAACCAAGCAGTAAGGTAGGTATGGAAGTCCAGACATGACATTCTGTATGTCTTTATGGCTCTCAAACCAGGCTGTAAGGTAGGTATGGAGGGCGAGACATGACATTATGTATGAAGGCTAGACACGACATTCTGTCTGCCTGTATGGCTCTCAAACCAGGCTGTAAGGTAGGTATGGAGGGGTAGACCTGACATTATGATGAAATTCTGTATGGCAGCGGCTCTCTGCCATTCTGTATGGCCCTCAAACTAGGCAACCAAGCAGTAAGGTAGGTATGGAGTTCTAGACATGCCATTCTGTGGGGCCCTCAAACTAGGCAGTAAGGGAGGTATGGAAGGCCAGACAGGACATTCTGTATGCCTGTAAGGCTCTCAAACCAGGCAGTAAGGAAGGAATGGAGGGCTAGACATGCCATTATGCATGGCCCTCAAACTAGGCAGTAAGGGAGGGATGGAGGTCTAAACATGCCATTCTGTTTGGCCCTCAAACCAGCCAGTAAGGTAGGTATGGAAGACCAGACAAGACATTCTGTATGCCTGTATGAGGCAGTAAGGTAGGTATGTAGGGCTGGACATGATATTCTGTATGTCTGTATGGCCCTCAAACCAGGCAGTACGGTAGGTATGGAGGGCTAGAAACTACATTTTGTACGCCTGTATGGCTCTCAAACTAGGCAGTAAGGTAGGAATGGAAGGCCAGACATGACCTTCTGTATGGCAGCGGCTCCCAAACTAGGCAGTAAGGTATGTCTGTATGGCTCTAAAACCAGGCCGTAAGGTAGGTATGGAGGGGTAGACCTGACATTATGATGAAATTCTGTATGGCAGCGGCTCTGAAACCAGGCAGTAAGGGAGGGATGGAGGTCTAAACATGCCATTCTGTTTGGCCCTCAAATGACATTCTGTATGGCAACGGCTCCAGGCAGTAAGGTAGGTAGTATGGCTCTAAAACCAGGCCGTAAGGTAGGTATGGAAGGCCAGAAATGACATTCTGTATGGCAACGGCTCCAGGCAGTAAGGTAGGTAGTATGGCTCTAAAACCAGGCAGTAAGGCAGGCATGGAAAGCCAGACATGACATTCTGTTTGTCTGTATGGCTCTCAAACCTGGCAGTAAGGTAGGTATGGTGGGCTAGACATGACATTATGTATGAAGGCTAGACACGACATTCTGTATGCCTGTGTGGCTCTCAAACCAGGCAGCAAGGTAGGTATGGAAGGCCCGCCATGACCTTCTGTATGGCAGCGGCTCTCTGCCATTCTGTATGGCCCTCAAACTAGGCAGTAAGGTAGATATGGAGGGCTAGACATGACATTATGTATTCCTGTATGGCTCTAAAACCAGGCAGGAAGGTAGGTATGGAGGGCTAGACACTACATTCTGGACGCCTGTATGGCTCTCAAACCCGGCAGTAATGTAGGTATGGAAGGCCAGAAATGACATTCTGTATGGCAGAGGCTTTCAAACTAGGCAGTAAGGTAACATAACATTCTGTATGCCTCTATGGCTCTAAAACCAGGCCGTAAGGTAGGTATGGAAGGCTAGCCACGACATTCTGTATGCCTGAATGGCTCTCAAACCAGGCAGTACGGTAGGTATGGAGGGCTAGACACTACATTCTGTACGCCTTTATGGCTCTCAAACCAGGTAGGACCAGGCAGTAAGGTAGGTGTTGAAGGCCAGACATGACATTGTGTATGGCAGCGGCTCCCAAACTAGCCAGTAAGGTAGGTATGGAAAGCCAGACATGACGTTCTGTATGGCAGCGGCTCCCAAACTAGCCAGTAAGGTAGGTATGGAAGGCTAGGCACGACATTCTGTATGCCTGTCTGGCTCTCAAACCAGGCAATAAGGAAGGAATGGAAGGCCAGACATGACCTTCTGTATGGCAGCGGCTCCCAAACTAGCCAGTAAGGTAGGTATGTAGGGGTAGACATGCCATTCTGTATGTCCCTCAAACCAGGCAGTAAGGAAGGAATGGAGGGCTAGACATGCCATTCTCTGTGGCCCTCACACTAGGCAGTAAGGGAGGTATGGAGGGGTAGACATGCCATTCTGTATGGGGCTCTCAAACCAGGCAGTAAGGTAGGTATGGAAGGCCAGACATAACATTCTGTATGCCTGTATGGCTCTAAAACCAGGCAGTAAGGTAGGTATTGAAGGCCAGACATGACATTCTGTATGGCAACGGCTCTCAAACTAGGCAGTAAGGTAGGTATGGAGGTCTAGACATGCCATTCTGTGTGGCTCTCAAACCAGGTAGGAAGGTAGGTATGGAAGGCCAGACATGACATTCTGTATGGCAGCGGCTCTCAAACCAGGCAGTAAGGTAGGTATGGAGGGCTAGACATGACATTATGTATGCCTGTATGGCTCTCAAACCAGGCAGTAAGGTAGGTATGGAAGGCCAGACATGACATTCTGTATGGCAGCGGCTCTCAAACCAGGCAGTAAGGTAGGTATGGAGGGCTAGACATGACATTATGTATGCCTGTATGGCTCTCAAACCAGGCAGTAAGGTAGGTATGGAAGGCCAGACATGACATTCTGTATGGCAGCGGCTCTCAAACCAGGCAGTAAGGTAGGTATGGAGGGCTAGACATGACATTCTGTATGCCTGTATGGCTCTCAAACCAGGCAGTAAGGTAGGTATGGAAGGCCAGACATGACATTCTGTATGGCAGCGGCTCTCAAACCAGGCAGTAAGGTAGGTATGGAGGGCTAGACATGACATTCTGTATGCCTGTATGGCTCTCAAACCAGGCAGTAAGGTAGGTATGGAAGGCCAGACATGACATTCTGTATGGCAGCGGCTCTCAAACCAGGCAGTAAGGTAGGTATGGAGGGCTAGACATGACATTCTGTATGCCTGTATGGCTCTCAAACCAGGCAGTAAGGTAGGTATGGAAGGCCAGACATGACATTCTGTATGGCAGCGGCTCTCAAACCAGGCAGTAAGGTAGGTATGGAGGGCTAGACATGACATTCTGTATGCCTGTATGGCTCTCAAACCAGGCAGTAAGGTAGGTATGGAAGGCCAGACATGACATTCTGTATGGCAGCGGCTCTCAAACCAGGCAGTAAGGTAGGTATGGAGGGCTAGACATGACATTCTGTATGCCTGTATGGCTCTCAAACCAGGCAGTAAGGTAGGTATGGAAGGCCAGACATGACATTCTGTATGGCAGCGGCTCTCAAACCAGGCAGTAAGGTAGGTATGGAGGGCTAGACATGACATTATGTATGCCTGTGTGGCTCTCAAACCAGGCAGTAAGGTAGGTATGGAGGGCTAGACATGACATTATGTATGCCTGTGTGGCTCTCAAACCAGGCAGTAAGGTAGGTATGGAGGGCTAGACATGACATTATGTATGTCTGTGTGGCTCTCAAACCAGGCAGTAAGGTAGGTATGGAGGGCTAGACATGACATTCTGTATGCCTGTATGGCTCTCAAACCAGGCAGTAAGGTAGGTATGGAAGGCCAGACATGACATTCTGTATGGCAGCGGCTCTCAAACCAGGCAGTAAGGTAGGTATGGAGGGCTAGACATGACATTATGTATGCCTGTGTGGCTCTCAAACCAGGCAGTAAGGTAGGTATGGAGGGCTAGACATGACATTCTGTATGCCTGTATGGCTCTCAAACCAGGCAGTAAGGTAGGTATGGAAGGCCAGACATGACATTCTGTATGGCAGTGGCTCTCAAACCAGGCAGTAAGGTAGGTATGGAGGGCTAGACATGACATTCTGTATGCCTGTATGGCTCTCAAACCAGGCAGTAAGGTAGGTATGGAAGGCCAGACATGACATTCTGTATGGCAGCGGCTCTCAAACCAGGCAGTAAGGTAGGTATGGAGGGCTAGACATGACATTATGTATGCCTGTATGGCTCTCAAACCAGGCAGTAAGGTAGGTATGGAAGGCTAGACATGACATTCTGTATGCCTGTATGGCTCTCAAACCAGGCAGTAAGGTAGGTATGGAAGGCCAGACATGACATTCTGTATGCCTGTATGGCTCTCAAACCAGGCAGTAAGGTAGGTATGGAAGGCTAGACATGACATTCTGTATGCCTGTATGGCTCTCAAACCAGGCAGTAAGGTAGGTATGGAAGGCCAGACATGACATTCTGTATGGCAGCGGCTCTCAAACCAGGCAGTAAGGTAGGTATGGAGGGCTAGACATGACATTATGTATGCCTGTATGGCTCTCAAACCAGGCAGTAAGGTAGGTATGGAAGGCTAGACATGACATTCTGTATGCCTGTATGGCTCTCAAACCAGGCAGTAAGGTAGGTATGGAAGGCCAGACATGACATTCTGTATGGCAGCGGCTCTCAAACCAGGCAGTAAGGTAGGTATGGAAGGCTAGACATGACATTCTGTATGCCTGTATGGCTCTCAAACCAGGCAGTAAGGTAGGTATGGAAGGCCAGACATGACATTCTGTATGTCTGTATGGCTCTCAAACCAGGCAGTAATGTAGGTATGGAAGGCCAGACATGACATTCTGTATGGCAACGGCTCTCAAACTAGGCAGTAAGGTAGGTATGGAGGGCTATACATGCCATTCTGTATGGCAGCGGATCTCAAACCAGGCAGTAAGGTAGGTATGGAAGGCCAGACATGACATTCTGTATGGCAGGGGCTCCCAAACTAGGCAGTAAGGTAGGTATGGAAGGCTAGACATGACATTCGTAGGTATGGTAGGCCAGACATGACATTCTGTATGGCAACGGCTCTCAAACTAGGCAGTAAGGTAGGTATGGAAGGCCAGACATGACATTCTGTATGGCAGCGGCTCCCAAACTAGGCAGTAAGGTAGGTATGGAGGGCTAGACATGACGTTCTGTATGTCTGTATGGCTCTCAAACCAGGCAGTAAGGTAGTTATGGAAGGCCAGACATGACATTCTGTATGGCAGAGGCTCTCAAACTAGGCAGTAAGGTAGGTATGGAAGGCTAGACATGACATTCGTAGGTATGGTAGGACAGACATGACATTCTGTATGGCAGCGGCTCTCAAAATAGGCAGTAAGGTAGGTATGGAAGACCAGACATGACATTCTGTATGTCTGTATGGCTCTAAAACCAGGCAGTAAAGTAGGTATGGAAGGCTAGACATGACATTCTGGATGTCTGTATGGCTCTCAAACCAGGCACTAAGGTAGTTATGGAAGGCCAGACATGACATTCTGTATGACAGAGGATCTCAACCTAGGCAGTAAGGTAGGTATGGAAGGCCACTGTATGGCTCTCAAACCAGGCAGTAAGGTAGGTATGGAGGGCTAGACATGCCATTCTGTGTGGCCCACAAACCAGGCAGTAAGGTAGGTATTGAGGGCTAGACATGCCATTCTGTGTGGCCCTCAAACCAGGCAGTAAGGTAAGTATGGAGGGCTAGACATGCCATTCTGTATGGCAGGGGCTCTCAAACCAGGCAGTAAGATAGGGATGGAAGGCCAGACATGACATTCTGTATGCCTGTATGGCTCTCAAACCAGGGAGTAAGGTAGGTATGGAGGGCTAGACACTACATTCTGTACGCCTGTATGGCTCTCAAACCAGGCAGTAAGGTGGGTATGGAGGGCTAGACATGCCATTCTGTGTGGCCCTCAACCCAGGCAGTAAGGTAGGTATGGAAGGCAAGACATGACATTCTGTATGCCTGTATGGCTCTCAAACCAGGTAGTAAGGTAGGTATGGAAGGCCAGACATGACATTCTGTATGGCAACGGCTCTCAAACTAGGCAGTAAGGTAGGTATGGAGGTCTAGACATGCCATTCTGTTTGGCCCTCAAATGACATTCTGTATGGCAACGGCTCTCAAACTAGGCAGTAAGGTAGGTATGGTGGGCTAGACATGCCATTCTGTATGGCCCTCAACCTAGGCAGGAAGGTAGGTATGGAGGGCTAGACATGCCATTCTCTGGGGCCCTCAAACTAGGCAGTAAGGGAGGTATGGAGGGCTAGACATGGCATTATGTATGCCTGTATGGCTCTCAACCCAGGCAGTAAGGTAGGTATGGAAGGCAAGACATGACATTCTGTATGCCTGTATGGCTCTCAAACCAGGGAGTAAGGTAGGTATGGAGGGCTAGACATGACGTTATGTAGGCCTGTATGGCTCTCAAACCAGGCAGTAAGGTAGGGATGGAGGGCTAGACATGCCATTCTGTGGGGCCCACAAACCAGGCAGTAAGGTAGGAATGGAGGGCTAGACACTACATTCTGTACGCCTGTATGGCTCTCAAACCAGGCAGTAAGGTAGGTATGGAGGGCTAGACACTACATTCTGTACGCCTGTATTGTTGCTAGGGAGATATCATAGATATGGTTACTAGGGAGATATCATAAATATGGTTTCTAGGGGGATATCATAAATATGGTAACTAGGGAGATATCATAAATATGGTTTCTAGGGGGATATCATAGATATGGTGACTAGGAAGATATCATAAATATGGTTACTAGGGAGATATCATAAATATGGTTACTAGGGAGATATCATAAATATGGTTACTAGGGAGAAAGAAGGTTTTTTGGTGAAGAGATTATGTGGAAAATTAATCATGAATGGTTTGATATGAATTAAACTTTTGATTTTACAGCCCTACTCTACAGATGTTTGTGTACCTATATCCAATTTACCAGAGGTCATAACAAGGTCAAAGGAGGCCATACAGAAGGCTGGTGTTATTGGTAAGTTTATCTTGTTAAACACATCCCCAAGATACTGGTAATTAGCACCCCTATCATATTACAATTATAATATTGGTTGTGTGTGGAGTTATAATTTGTTTTTGTGACATTAATCATCAATGTAGTATATGACAACACTAAACCTCTGTGTAGCCCCAGGTTATAACATGTTCACATGTCCTTTAAACCTTATATCAAGTTATCAATTTGATGATGAAAAATTAATGTTTATCATTTCTTGTGAGACATACAACATGTACCTTATATTGACTGCTGGGGGACACCTGATTGACCTCCTTAGGACATGTACCTTATATTGACTGCTTGGCGACACCTCATTGACCTCCTTAGGACATGTACCTTATATTGACTGCTTGTCGACACCTCATTAACCTCCTTAGGACATGTACCTTATATTGACTGCTTGGCGACACCTCATTGACCTCCTTAGGACATGTACCTTATATTGACTGCTTGGCAACACCTGATTGACCTCCTTAGGACATGTACCTTATATTGACTGCTTGGCGACACCTGATTGACCTCCTTAGGACATGTACATTATAGTGACTGCTTGGCGACACCTGATTGACCTCCTTAGGACATGTACCTTATATTGACTGCTTGGCGACACCTGATTGACCTCCTTAGGACATTTTCTCGGTACCAGGTCCAATAGTTGGTCATGTTGAGCATTTTCTCGTTACCAGGTCCGATCGTTGGTCATGTTGGGGATGGTAATTTTCACGTCTTTTTCCCCACCGATCGCTCAAACCCTGAGGAGGTGAAGAAGATCAGTGATGTTTCTGTGTACATGGCTCAGTAAGTGTGACTCTCCCAGTGATGTATTTGTGTTGTAGATGCTTCTATGGTGGGTCATGTTGGTGATGGCAATTTTCATACTTTGTTTTTAATCGACACTGAAAATAACAAGGAGGTAGAACTGGTGAAGGGTTTGGCAGATACCATAGCAATGTAAGTGGCATGGAGGCTTCATATTGGGTACGAAGCTTAGGTAGTGCTGAAAGGGGATGTAAAGGGCACCTAAGGGAGATAGGTAGTGGGATAGTGGGAAGGGAAGGGGGGGGGGGGGGGGGGGGGGGGGGGGGGGGGGGGGGCGTGAGAGGAAGTGTTTTGAAAGAATCATACAGAACACATGACAGCATAATAGGAATGAGAAGGCTCTACATACATATGTAGCAATTAGTTAATTTGTAAAATGAAAACATATGAATGATGCCATAATGACATAAAAAAATTTGAAGGTGGCTACAGGGTATCATAACATAAGTGGCATCAAGGGTTCATCTTCGGAACAGAAATGACATATGAGCTACATACAGATCACTATGGCAACTTATGGGAAAACACATATGTCAATGGTTTTAGTTATAAGATACACTACTGTTATGTTCATTGTTGACAAAATGTCGTTCAATTTGGACATACAAATGTACCAGGTATATATCCGATATTAAGATGTATTAACCCTTTCACCGCTGTAGACCAAAATGGACTCACCAAGATAAATGCATGGTAGAGTCAACTAAAGTTACCTAGTGGTGAAAGGGTTAATACATGTTCAGCTATTACTATATGTTTAGCAACATTGTGATCCAATCAGCCCAAAAAACCTAATTGTTTGTTGTTGTTTTGATAGAATCGCCATGGAGCTGGATGGCACCTGTACGGGGGAACACGGTATCGGGATGGGTAAACGTGGCCTCCTTCAGCAAGAGATTGGAGATGAAGGTATGGAGGTGATGAAGCAACTGAAGAGCACATTCGACCCCAAAGGAATCATGAATCCGGGGAAAGTCTTTCCTGAGTAATCATGACTTATGTTGTCAGTAGTGACGAGTTTGAGGTGATTCCAGTTCAGAAGTTCAGTGTGGAAAGAACAGGGGTTCTTATGTTATCACCTTAGCATCCACATTTGTGTTGTAAAGTTGTGGTGCAAGTGTTGAAATATTGAAAGCGTTCAGTATTTGTGCTAGGATGATGGTATTTGTCACGACAGTTCCCAAGGGGTGAAACATTTAGGCATTGGAATCAAGATTGCAAAAAAAAAAAGAATAAAAAACTGTTTGCAGATCTGGTTTTAACCTCACCATCCATAATATAATATTACAGGTGCCCCCAATTCTCCCATATTATTAATTAAAGTATAGCCCTTATAGGTGACCTCAACAGGTTTTGGCTCTTGTTAGAAACTGTTTTCATCACAAAGATGCCATCAATATCAAAATGTTATGGATATTATTTTCTCATTGATATATGGGAAAAAAATGGTATTGATATCATTGTAGACTATTGGGTAAAAACATAACACTGAAAATTGGTATGAAATCTTTGTTCTTGAATAAAAGAAATCCTAAAACTAAAAGAAAAAGATTTGTCTTTTAGTACTTTCTTTCCATGAGATCTACAGATTTTATAGGATTTATTTTTGGTTGTGATGCCATGAAACAGTGACTATTACTGTACATACAGATATTTTATATACACAGATAATAGATCCCTGAAATTTCATAATCAACTATTCCAACCTTTGAATTGGAAGAGTTCAAATGTGTTTGCAGGGGTGAATGAGTTAACAATTGGAATGTGTGTTGTTTGTTTTCAGTTATTAAATTAAGTTTTATAGTAATATGATGGAAAGCTTATATAATACACAGAAGTCTGCTGAACATAACAGTGAAATAATATCACCTATATGTAAAGACTATGCTGAATAAACCTGTGAACCAGAAATTCTGCTTTGGTCCTGGATATCAGTTAGATTTTCATGAGAAGTAAAACTGAAGAAACTGTATAGACAGGTTTCACTACCTCAAAGGAACACATATCCTCAAACGTGAAAATGTTGATTTTTGCATTTTTAAAATATTTGTTATAAAAAGGCCACATACTTTTGTTTTCTATAACTGTTGAATCTAGCAAGTTATAGAAGTATTATTGTATGGATCTGTATTAAAGATTCTTTCCTGTTGATGTTTTTATGATTAAATACTTTCCCCTCGAGTAAATGATTTTGTATGCCTATGGTTCTATTTACCGTAATTTTTTGTTTGATTAAGAATTAAGATCCTAGTGGTCGAATGATTTTGTTTAGGTAGGGCAGTTTTGTACTAGTTTCCTGAGATTTTACAAAAAATTGTTTATAGGTAGAAATTATGTTAATGTTTTAATACATCTACAAACAAGAGTGCTGTAAGTATCATAGAAGGGGCATAACTCTTTGCTTGAGGTCCTTGGCTGCTTTCACATATTGCAGTTGAAATGGTACAGTTGGCACAGAAATAATCCGTCAGAAAGGAACTCTCTTGGACAGGAAATGAGCTGACTGAAAAGGTAGAGCTCAAAATGCTTAGAATCAAATTATGAGAAGTTCTTTTCACAAACTGTTTTTACAAAAAAAGAAAAAGCTTTATAAGAGTTTTGTGACATTTTTAAAAATAACACTAAAGCAAGCATTTCATGTTCTTCGTTCACTTGTTAATTTTATAATATGTCCTTAAATAGAAATGAAAATTGACCTTGCAATATTTCCCCATTTATTTTCGGCCAGGCACATGTACCTGAATGTGCTTGTTGTGTTTTTTCCAAGTTTAGTAGGTTGAACCAGAGCTGCCCTAGTCTAAGGAAAGGGGCATAACTCTAGTAGTCTTGTACCAAATTTTTCCTCTTAATTACCAATAACCAGGTCCGTTTTCGTTAAAATGGTTCAACCGGTCAGACCACAGTTGTTCGTTTATTAAATAATATTTGACCTAGTTATGTGAAGGTGCTTTCAGTCGAGCCTTGACAAAGCCTTACAAGGCCTGCATAAACATTTGCAGGTCCGCAAGAATCTATACCCAAAAATGTTACATTTAAAAACGGATGTACCAGTTGTTCCACATAAACGAACAGGACCCAGGGCTGCTTTTAAATTTGTTTATCATGTTCCAACTGGTTTGACAGGTTGGACCAGAGTTGTTCGTTTATAAAATAGGGAGGAACCTAGTGATTAGATGTTGTTTTCTGGCGAGCCTTGACAAAGACTTTCAAGGTCTGCATTAATATTTGCAAGTTCGTTAAGTTAAACCCCTGAAATATTACATTTACTACTGGATGGTCTGCATAAGCGAACAGGCCCCAGATTTCTCAGTTGGTACATGTACTGTCCAGAGTTGGGTGGGTCCAGAATTTGAAAACTGGCCTTGCTCATTGCAATTTTTAATAAATTAGTACCAAGCTTAAGGATATCATTACCCTAGGAATGCTTGTATATAGGTTGTTGGTGTTTTCATGCCAAACAGTTTAGAGTCGGGAGATTCGTGTGATGATTGAGGAGTGTGTCGATATGTATAGGTTCAAATTGCCCCCATCAGTTTTGAAATCTACATTTTTGCCAAGATTGAGTTATAGAAGAGGAAAATTCAACACAGCCCTGCTTTGTATATTGTTTTAATTAGGTTTGTATTAAAGTGCAATATTGCTTTCTAAATGTATAGAAATAATCTTTTATAATTGTTACCAGATGATGTTTTAATGAAGATTTTTATATATGAAGTATCAGATTAATGTAGACATATAATTACGATGCTATTTTTAATTATCAATAAAAATATATGACTTTATGATGTTTGATTTTCATTTATTCTTCATGAAAAATACATTCACAAATAATAAAGATTATGAAGGTACGTATAAGGTAAATTGATATGTATAATTTATAACTTTCTTGATGTGTAATGTTTGTGTTGAATTTGTAAACAGTCTGTTGGTATGCTTGGGTTGTAAGTATTCATGTTGATTATTTTGGGTCTGTTGTTATGCAACATTTCTTTTGGACGATTTTCCAGACAAATCCACTCTGGTTCCTAAATAGGCTCTATCTCCTCTTTAGATCTTAATTTATTGTAAAATACTGTGACTGTGTACTACTAACACCAAATGTCAGGGAGTGGTTTCTAGTCAATACCTTTAACTTCTTTATGCCTAGAGACAATAATCACAAGTTATACACTGCTATTCAGGAGTGATTAAATGTGTTGTGCAATTTAAAAGGCACTTTAAGTAAGTTATAAGTCGTTGATGTATTATGTGGTGTTTGCCATGTGATTGAATGTCCTGTAGACTGTAGATATTACTACTATACGCCTGATCTGTTACCATGGTCTGTCATAACACATCAATCTACACACGTAAACAGATCCCTTTGATCATCAATTCCATTACCCACAAAATTACTCAATTATGTCTCCCTATCCTTTGATAGGAAGATAATGTGTTAATACAGTTTTTTCTACTTTTCTTTCTGGTTCTTATAACATGTTGATGCCCTTGCCTAAATCAACTTTGGAAGGTGTGTTGTTCACTGTATTAAGGTCATTTTGATCTTCATCTCTGGGTCAAAGGTCAAATAAGCACAGTAATATACCGAGGGATGTGTGTTCGTTAATAAAGAGTATTCATAACTTTTCTGTCCAATATTATAATATATGGAATTATTTATAGTATTTAGGGGTTGGAACACACGATGAAGCTATACAAGGAAAGGTAAGAGGAATAAGGGGTTGGGACATGTGATTGTGAGGCTATACAGGGGTAGGTAATTAAGAGGAATAAGGGGTTGGGACAGGTGATTGTGAGGCTATACAGGGGTAGGTAATTAAGAGGAATAAGGGGTTGGGACAGGTGATTGTGAGGCTATACAGGGGTAGGTAATTAAGAGGAATAAGGGGTTGGGACAGGTGATTGTGAGGCTATACAGGGGTAGGTAATTAAGAGGAATAAGGGGTTGGGACAGGTGATTGTGAGGCTATACAGGGGTAGGTAATTAAGAGGAATAAGGGGTTGGGACAGGTGATTGTGAGGCTATACAGGGGTAGGTAATTAAGAGGAATAAGGGGTTGGGACAGGTGATTGTGAGGCTATACAGGGGTAGGTAATTAAGAGGAATAAGGGGTTGGGACAGGTGATTGTGAGGCTATACAGGGGTAGGTAATTAAGAGGAATAAGGGGTTGGGACAGGTGATTGTGAGGCTATACAGGGGTAGGTAATTAAGAGGAATAAGGGGTTGGGACAGGTGATTGTGAGGCTATACAGGGGTAGGTAATTAAGAGGAATAAGGGGTTGGGACAGGTGATTGTGAGGCTATACAGGGGTAGGTAATTAAGAGGAATAAGGGGTTGGGACAGGTGATTGTGAGGCTATACAGGGGTAGGTAATTAAGAGGAATAAGGGGTTGGGACAGGTGATTGTGAGGCTATACAGGGGTAGGTAATTAAGAGGAATAAGGGGTTGGGACAGGTGATTGTGAGGCTATACAGGGGTAGGTAATTAAGAGGAATAAGGGGTTGGGACAGGTGATTGTGAGGCTATACAGGGGTAGGTAATTAAGAGGAATAAGGGGTTGGGACAGGTGATTGTGAGGCTATACAGGGGTAGGTAATTAAGAGGAATAAGGGGTTGGGACAGGTGATTGTGAGGCTATACAGGGGTAGGTAATTAAGAGGAATAAGGGGTTGGGACAGGTGATTGTGAGGCTATACAGGGGTAGGTAATTAAGAGGAATAAGGGGTTGGGACAGGTGATTGTGAGGCTATACAGGGGTAGGTAATTAAGAGGAATAAGGGGTTGGGACAGGTGATTGTGAGGCTGTACAGGGGTAGGTAATTAAGTGGAATAAGGGGTTGGGACACGTGATTGTGAGGCTATACAGGGGTAGGTAATTAAGAGGAATAAGGGGTTGGGACAGGTGATTATGAGGCTATACAGGGGTAGATAATTTAGAGGAATAAGGGGTTGGGACACGTGATTGTGAGGCTATACAGGGGTAGGTAATTAAGAGGAATAGGGGGTTGGGACTCGTGATTGTGAAGCTATACAGGGGTAGGTAATTAAGAGGAATAAGGGGTTGGGGCAGATGATTGTGAGGCTATACAGGGGAAGGTAAGAGGAATAATGGGTGGGGATGCATGATGAAGCTACACAGCAGTAGAAATAAGATATGTGTGGGCACACTTGATGGGGCTACACAGGGGTAGGGTAGAGGAAAAAGGGTGTGTGCACCCTTCATTAGGCTACACAGGGGTAGGGTAGAGCAAAAAAGGTGTGGGCACACTTGGTGAGGCTACACAGGGGTAGGGGAGAGGAAAAAAGGTGTGGGCACACTTGATGCGGCTACACAGGGGTAGGGTAGGGGAAAAAAGGTGTAGGCACACTTGATGGGGCTACACAGGGGTAGGATAGAGGAAAAAGGGTGTGTGCACCCTTGATTAGGCTACACAGGGGTAGGGTAGAGGAAAAAAGGTGTTGGCATACTTGATGAGGCTACACAGGGGTAGGGAAGAGTAGTAAGGGTGTGGGCACACTTGATGGAACTTTACAGGGGAAAGGAAAAGGGTGTTGGCACACTTGATGGGGCTACACAGGGGTAGGGTAGAGGTAAAAGGGTGTGTGCATACTTGATTAGGCTACACAGGGGTAGGGTAGAGTAGTAAGGGTGTGGGCACACTTGATGGAACTTTACAGGGGAAAGGAAAAGGGGGTTGGCACACT